TGGATTTTTTCCCCACGTTCATATCCAGAAATAGCAGCCACTCGAACCATTACACCCCCCAGTCCTCAGCACACAGCCATTGGACAGTCTGTTTCCACGTATTCTTCACAAAAAATCTTGAGGAATCATTGGAATGTTAATTACTCTGCAGGGAAAAGAAAAAGGGCTGTTGATTTTTTTTAAGCGCACGTAGGATTCCAGCTCATGTTTGTACGCTTATGAAATGTCAGTTTGTTGGATAATCACTGTCGAGATGTAAATGAGCCTAAACAAAGTTGTGCCCTGAAACCGGCTCGACCGGCAGCGCTGCAGCTCAGGAAAGACCTCTCATTCCTCCAGCTGTCTCTTCTAGAGTTGTTTCATTTGACTGTGTATATTTGGTCTCTAAAACAGATGAGGAAACACATTGTTGCTGTGGTAGAGAACTGTATGCCAGTATTAATTAATTGATTTACATAATGTTCCTGGGTTAGGAATGCTGAACCAAGTGCTGCTGCTTAGATAAAGCCTCACAATTTATGAATGGTTTTCTGCCTGTCAGAGTATTCATCCATGCATTTATTACCACAGTATGATATTTGAATATTGAAACCAATGTCCCATTTCTCTTTGTGTTCATGCAGATTGTATATCAACCACAGCAGCCAAACAATGAGAGGCATCCTTAAGAGAAAGTTTGCAGAGGTAGATGACAATCCCTGCTACTCCTCCTCCTCTCCTCCGTCCTCCCTCTCTTCCCCTGCCTCCTCGGAGTGGGAGTCCGACGGGGAGAGCAGCCCCTCAGACAACCAGGATTTCACACCTCACAGTCCTTCTTCACCCACCAGTTTACCCAGTAAGTCTCCAAACCAATGACCACTGTGCTTTTTTCCACCTCCCTTCTTTCAAATAATGCAAACCTCCTCTTTATCTTGCCGTTTTTCCATCACTGTTTTATAGGAGTGCCTCTTATCAGCCTGCAGCAGCGCTGGTATGAAAACGTTAACCTTAGGGCGGTTGTAGATCATGCACAGCGAATGACTCGCCTCTGGACTGTGTGGTTGGGTGGAAGATCATTTGCCTGAGCAATAGGATGTTGTGGAATCAATTTGAATAGCAAGATCCCTTTAAACATGTCATATCAAATGTCCTTGTTAAGGTAGCACAAAGCTGCACAGATGGCTTGCGATGACAAAATATTCTGCAGTTATTGTTGTACAGTCTACAGCCTTATGTATAACAGTTTCAGGCTTGTTATTCTGAGCCTGTTACCAAGCCACAATGGAGTCATAGTGCAAACAGTGCCCCAGTGTGGAGCCTTTTAGACAGACAGAGCAGCTGAGACATGCTTAGTCAGCTGCTCTCACTTGTTTACTCACTTCACTGAACTAGAGTTCAGCTTCAGTTATGTGTGAGAGTTTAGATCCATTGTTGAAGCTAAACTGTTAAACCAAACAGTAACCTGATGAATACTGAAGCCTAAACTGTCAGGAAGAGTCTAACTATGTGCTGATAAACCTCCAACAAACAGCAATTAGACCCTGCTTTACTTCTTTTCTCTCTGTACTGCTGATCTGTCCACTGGTTCAATAGGCCCTTTGCTTGGTATTTCCTGTCCACATGTATGTTGAACTGTTGAACCAAGCCACTGCAGTGAAGCACCTGTAGTGTGTCACCTAGTGGCCACTCAGAGACCTGCAGAAGACAAAGTCCCAGTTCTGCATTTATCAAGTCTGTAGGAATCATTTTGAAAGTACCCTAGTGTAGGCCTCAATAGACATTTATGAAGCACTGACTTTGAGCTAAGAGAAGGAGAGGATTGTGACAAAGTAGGAATTACCATGATCTAGTGCAGTTTTGTTGATTTGCACTTTTTCTGATGTTTCCATTGTCTCTTTTTCTAACGCAACCAGTTCGGTCTATCCTGAAGAGACCAAAGCTTGCAGGCACACAGAGCAACGTGCGCTTTGACCATGTGACAGTGTTCAGTTTCCCACGCTGTCAGGGCTTCACCAGTGTGCCCAGCCGGGGGGGTGCCACCCTGGGTATGATGCGGAAGCACAGCACCCTCCACAGATACACGGTGGCAAAGTACGCACTGGAGCAACGACACAGGCGCAGAGAGAGGCTCAGAGACAGACTGAGAGAAGAGAGGTTCGAGGCTCTGAAACAGAAAGTGAGTGAACTTCATTTCTACATTAGTTTGCACTGCTCATCTGCGCAGCAGTCTTATCTTTATCTGTTGTGCTGATTCCAGTTGATCACCAGTGGGGCCATTGACCAACGGGAAGCAGACAGGCTCACGGTGGATCAGATCCCAGATCAAGACACTGAGGTCCATGTCAGTGATGCTGAGCTGGGGGACGGAGGTTTCCTTCAGCCGTACTCCTCCAGACAGCGGCAGGCTCTCCTCCTGGCAGCCGGGGTGAAGCGCATAGACAGGGAGGAGAAGAGGCAGCTTCACGCCCTCCGTCTCTCCAGAGAGGCCTGTGGATGTGACTGCCGAGGCTTTTGTGAGCCAGAGACCTGCGCATGCAGTCTTGCAGGAATCAAGTGCCAGGTAAAACACTTTGCACTGCCGCTTTTTATCGTGAATGGGTTTCATGTTTTATTTTTACATCTGAAATGTGGACAAATTTGACTGTAAAATGATCCTTTAATTTACGTTTCAATTAGCCAAAAACAGACATTCCTATCTCGTTAATTTACACATTATCAATTTCTCAATTGATTTTCCAGAAAAAGTGTTATATATCAATATTGTGATAGAAAATTACATATACTGCAATTGAGGATTTTGTCCATATCACCCTCCCCAGTGCACGCTATCGTTTGTCTTTGCACTACTGTAAAAAGTAGTCCATGAGGGGCCTGTTGTTTAGAAAACAAGACTGTAAACAAATAAGGAATTTTATTGGAATCTTGCAAACTACCTTTTGATTTATCAGCCAGAAACCATTAAGAAATTAAAATGTTACCTGCACAGGATTTTCACTGTCTGCTGTCTCTCACACACAGGCAGACCGCCTCAACTTTCCATGTGGCTGCACTAAGGATGGCTGTGGAAACACTCAGGGGCGCATCGAGTTCAACTCCAGACGTGTGCAGACTCATTACATCCACACCGCCATGAGACTCGAACTGGAGAGGCGACTGCAGGATGAAAGACTGAGCCAAGAGGACGAGGCAGGACTTCCAGAGGACCTTCAAGAAAACGTGGACCAGGATGAGGCCGACACGGTGCAGAGTGCACAGGACAAGAGCTGCCCCTTTGGGTTCACCATAGAGGAAGATGGTCTTCCTCTCACCATGCCCACCACCCCTTCCTTTCATTTTATCCCAGAGCGGTTGGTGGTGGAGGAGAACAGCTGCAGCAGCGACATGACTGAGTCTTCATGCTCCTCCTCTGACTGTGATGCAGGAGGAAGCCCTGGTGGGAGTCAGAGTCTGCCTGAAGTTGATGGAGGGTTGTCTTGTGCCCTCAGCATCTGTGACAATAATGACTACTCTACGTGCAGCCAGCTGAGGCACACAGGAGAACCACTGACGCAGCACAGCAGCACACCTACTGACAGTACAGGGCCACTGACAGCCGACACATTCACAGACAATATGAGCAGGACCTCACTGACAGATTACCTCGATGAGAATGCAAACCAAGCCAGAGACCTTTTTGATGACGACTCTCTTGAGGGCTTTCCCAACACTCCCTCCCCCACTGTGGACTATTCCTTGGGCAGGTACATGGACCTGAGTCTCTCCTCTGACTCCGACCTCGAGTTCTTTGACAGTGACTACACCTCCGGACCTCTGCACAGCTCTTTCAAACTACAAAGACACCCAGACAGCTTTTGCCAACTCCAGCTCTTCAGCTCCGTCAATCTGCCACCTTACGAGTCGAGCACCTACCTCCTGGAGTCTCTGATCGGCCTGACTGAACCGAGCGCGGAGCAGGGTTATGCAGTCAGCGATGCTCAGATTTTCTAGCTGATTCAAGGAATTCTGAGATAACAAGAAACTGTGTAAGAAAATGTAATGTGTAAAGCACTGCTTTTATGTATTTGTAAGAATATTTCACTGTACAAAAAATAATTGATAAAATATTTTTTTCTTGCTGGATATTTTTTCTATTGCTTAAAAATAATTTTGCCTTTGTTTCAAAGACCACAGTTGAGTAATTAATATATTATGTCTGTTTTTTTATTTTCTGAATCTATGTAATGTCTGACATGTTATTTAATATCTTTTACTACCATGGCCACAGAGAATATTTGAATGTTTTATTTTCAAGCAGCGGCCTCTTCATTGCTCATTGCAAGTTGAACCCAATACTGGAATGCCTGTCAAACAACAATTTCTCCTATTTTTGGAGTGGTTGTGTAAAGTTATATTTATTACAAAGGTCACAACGGTAGTGGCAATAAAGAGTTCCCATTTTAAAAAAGTATTGCCCCTGATATCAACAAAAATATCCATATTTTGCCGGCAGCTGGCCATGGTATAAGAAGGATAATCCACTTTGACACATGCAGTAAATAACACTCCAGGTTCTGATTTTTATTTTCATTTTTTAAATAACTGCCTGGTTATTTGTGAATTATCTCCTATATGCTTAACAATATGTTTATAATATTTCTGTACTGGAGTAATGAAATAAAAAACAATTATTTATTTATTCACTGACTTGAAATGTATTTATTAAGCTGTATTTTTCTTTTGTCCCGGTACATATGAAGAAACCAAGACCTTTTTCACAGCAGCCATTTTGACATGAAATAGTAGGGTATTACAGTGTTACTAATGTTACACATTACATTCAAGAGTCAGGGTGCAGTGTCACATCTTAGGTGTATAATATCAACGCTGGGACATGAAGCAGCTTTACTACTATTTAAATAATTATTAATAATAATATTAATAATAATAGCACAATCATTTAAAAAAAACGCGTACACAGGTATGCGCATGCGTAGTGTTCGGTCGGTTCGATACCAGCGATGTTCAATTGGTTTGGACTACAGACAAGATGGCCGCGGACTGTCAACCGTGTTAATTCTCACACACTTGTTATTTTCTGATGATATAAGCTAATATTTGAAAGTTCCGGGCAGAGATGGGTTTATCACAGAGTTCAGAAGTATCCGAAGGAGGGACGTATGGATACCACGTACACGGCGTAAGAAGGGCTTCATCCTGCTTTGTGTTTGAACAGCGAGTACAGCAGCTTATCATCAAGTGTTACTGTATGCTAACACACAGCTAGCGCAGAAGCTGCTGCAGACCCTCCGCTGAAACCTGATGAGGTGGCACTGTTTACCTGTTCTTCCAGGTTGACACAATGTAACCGAAACTTTCACTGATTTTAGATTTAAAACAAAGGGTTGAATTCAGGTTTGTAACTTGTCTCTAATCAGGTGTCCCAACAGTCCTGGATCTATTAAAAGTCAACTATTACATTCAATACAACACGAATGCCTTGGACTAATATAATATAATATAATGGTGTTCAGCATCGGGGCAAATTGAAGAAGGTTTTCTTTTACTGGCCTCCGAGGAATCGCCTTACTGTACTTGTACAGATTGTACATTTAATTACATTAGTGCCGGAATCTGTGGGTTAACTGATGCATCGATCGAGATACAGCGAAAAAGACAAATAACATTCAAGCTTTTCAGATACAAAGATTTGATGCTTTTTTTTTATGTGAATGTTAGTTAAATATTTTTTTATGTATATAATATGTTTGAGATAATGTTTTGGACTGTTGGCTGGAGAAAACAAGCATTTTCTTTTAGGGCCATGGGCAAGAAAAGCAAATCGTTTGAAAAACAAACCCAAAAAAAACCTTCCAAATTCTAAATTAATCCGTGATGAAAAAAATAGTCCCTTGTTGTAGTTTTTTACTGTAGTCCTGAAGTTGGTAAAATAGGTCATGATTTAAATGCTCCAAAAATATTTAGAAAATTCATTTCCAAAATAATAATGATAATAATAATACATTTTATTTATAAGCGCTTTTCTAAATACTCAAAGACACTTTACATAAAAACATAAAAGCAGTAAAACAACATCAAATAGTAAAACATTAAAAACACATCAGATTAAGCTAAACATTAAAAGCAATTTTAAAAAGGTGTGTTTTTGAAAGTGACTTGAATGTTGGAGGGGCGGTACAGTCGTGGATGTGTTTGGGGAGAGAGTTCCAGAGGGAGGGGGCAGCTACAGAGAATAAAATGATATTGTAATTGTGTGGTTGTATTTCGAGATAAAGCACCACGAGTTATCAAACACTGGTGTTGGTATTGACAGGTGCAGCCAAGTTCCCCTGCAGAAAAGGCCGGACTGCAGCCCTTCTTCGACTTCATTCTGTCTTTGGACAACAAAAGACTGGTGAGATTATTGATTGTTCTATTGTAAGTGACATAAAACAGGCAGAAAATGTACCTCATATTCCTGCTGTTCTGACTCCTCCTGTTTCACCAGAATGAGGAAAATGACCTGCTGAAGGAGCTTCTGAAAGCCAACGTGGAGAGAGCCGTGAAGATGGAGGTTTACAGCACAAAAACCACGAGGGTTCGGGAGCTGGAGGTGTTGCCCAGTAACATGTGGGGAGGACAGGGCCTGCTGGGGGCCAGTGTACGCTTCTGTAGCTACCAAGGAGCAAATGAGAACGTCTGGCACGTTCTGGTAAGCTTCTTTCATCAAGAACTAGGAGAACCAAACTGATTGACCTAACTCTGATTTGAACCTCCATACTCATTACTCCAATATAGCTTCATCTTTTCTTTACGAACTGTTTCCCGTAGGATGTGGAAGCCAGTTCACCTGCTGCACTGGCTGGACTTCAGCCACACAGTGACTACATCGTTGGAGCAGATCAAGTGTTGCAAGATGTAAGAGATAGATATAGTGTCAGATATAGATAGTGCTCTATTACTAACATTTGGCTCTTAAAGTTAAAAAAGGTTTCTCTTAACAAATCTTTGAAAGATGAGTTGTAGTTAAGTTGTTATTGTTGATTTCTAGTCAGAAGACTTCTTCTCGCTGATCGAGGCCCATGAAGGGAAGCCCCTGAAGCTGCTGGTGTACAACACACAGACAGATGTCTGCAGGGAGGTGGTGGTCACACCAAACGGAGCGTGGGGTGGAGAGGGCAGGTACGTGACAATACACAATTACATATACACTGACCTACTGGAGAAAACCTCAGTATTTCACCTTTAATAAGTTCATCTTTTTGCCTTAGGACTGTTTATTGTCTATTCTAGACAACATTTCAAATAAATAACATCACGCTGGCTTTAGAATTTACTTATTGGAATAATAATGCTTGTGTTAGCATTACTGGAGCTATGCTAAATGAAGAGAAAGGTGCACTATACTGTAAAGTTTATTCAAATGGCCATTCAATCACAGTGACCTTTTATTCAGATTAGTCAGCATTATTTTATGTTCTCAAATGTATTAATTGTTTAATGGTGTTATAAATAGTAGTGAAGCATATTAAAATGTTTGCCCGTAGTTTGGGTTGCGGCATTGGTTATGGCTACTTGCACCGAATCCCAGCAGCAAATCCTGACACACCGACGGAAAAGCCTCCTACCCCTGTTCCTGAGGAGGAACCCCCTCTTAAGATGCCTACCCATGGATTCATGGAGGTAAATCTCAACATTTACGGCTGCAACTAATGATTAGTTTCACTGTTTATTAATCTATTGGTTGCTTTTCTTCAGTTAAGTTAATTTACTCTATAAAATCTCAAAAATCACATTTGATGATGACCGATGGATTACTGAAATTGTTGCTGAATCAACTAATAGTTTCCACACTTTCCATTTGTTTGTTTCACTGCTAACTTAACCGTTGACTGACAAGCGATTGGCAGTAGCAACAAAGCTTATTTCTCTTTGTTTTGCAGGCGCCTTTGATGGCACCTTCAAGCCAAAGTGAAGATCTGTTAGACCTGGAGCAAGTCACCCTCCAGGAAGGTCCTCTACCTCCACCCCTCCAGAGAGTCATGGACCCTGGTCAGTTCAGATATGCTGTGGTTGCAGAGGATGAAGATCCACAATGCATGAGTCTTTTTGGCATCTCACTGGGTACATAAAAAATCTCATCAGCAGGTGTTTTTCCAGGTTTCTCAGACTCTGACGTGGCTGTGGTGAACCCTGACGTTGCAGATTTGGTGGACAGACTGGAACTGTCCATGTCGTCCATCGACATGACCAACACCGCACTGGCTATGCACGAGGAGAAGGACGGAGACATCTCTGGTGTTGGTAAGTTAGGCAGCACTTCATACCAGCATCCCGTAGCTTTTGGGTATATATTTGGCGAAAGGAGTATAGACTATGTTTGTGCTTCCTGTTGTACAGAGGAGCTGGAGGACAGTTTGCTGCTTTCATCGTCAGCAGACAACCAGACTGACCCACAAGAGCTGAGCTCCCAGGCAGCCATGGACCTCACTTCTGCTCTGGCTTCAGATGACACTTTGTCAGATTCAGGCATCCCACCGGCTGAACCATCTCCCCCGGAGTCCACAGACCTACCCGCCTCTCTCTGCGAGTCTAGCAACAGCCCAAGTCCACCTTTGGGTGCATTGTCTCTCCCCGTGGAGTCCCCCGAGCCTCCTGTGGAGTCCCCCAAGCCTCCTGTTGAGTCCCCCGTTCCAGTTGAAGACCCTCCCTGCCCATCTCCTGTCGATCTCCTCCAATCCTCTGCTGTTAATGAGTCAACAGCGGGTGATTTTCCCGCTCAGGCCATCAACGATGAAACAGGGCGAGCGGAGGAGTCGGCAGAGCCTCTAGATGTGGCTCCTGCTCACCACTGCAGCCACGAGAGTGATGAGGAGGATCCAGAACAGCCGCCTCTTGAGTAAGCGTGCATCAGGCCACACACAAAGTGAAGCTGACAATCACTGGGGCTTTTTAAAGAAACACTATATAGGAAATACAGGACAGACCGAGGGAAATGCTGAATGATTTTATACTGATATCTAAAATCAGGTTAGTTACACTACAGAAACCAGCTAAAGCATTAGCATATAAGTATAGAAACACTTCTGTAGGAACATCCTTTTTGTTTTATATGTGAGAATCTAAAGTTACTGCTCATTTGTACGCCAAGGTTATGTCATCAACATGATCCCTTGCTTGGTGCAAAATTAAGAGTATACGGGTGACTTTGCCTCGGGTACACAAATGTCATGAATACTTGAACACTTCCAAAGATAAACACATACATTTACTACAGTAAAGCACAGCTGCACCTTCATATCAAATAACACTTAATGTTCCTGAACCTACCAGGTCAGATGAGACATTACAATGTTGTGGTGCATTTATACATCTGTTATCCTTGTGTTTAATAGAAGCTAATAACGATTTAAAATGGCTCACTAAATTATAAGAGGGGAACTTTTACTGTAGTTCACGGCCTCAGTATTGGATTTCAACGTGTTTTTGATGTGGTATGAGGGAAATTTTGTCCACTTGTACTGTGTGAAACCAGTCAGTGCAAGTTTTTACACCAGATTTGATGGTCAGTATGTTTTAACACTGTATTTTATTTGATTTATTCGGCCATGCAGTCTGTGATCTGTTTGAACAGTTTTTACTGCTTGTATCGTGTCCCCATTACGGAAGCTTTGAAATGCAATTTTCTTCCCCCCCTCACGATTATTTTTTCACAGATGAAAAACTGTTTTCTTTTTACTGATTGTGAGGGAAAAAAACAATTGCCTTTCAGGGCTTCCATGCTACATGTCTCCTTCAATGCTATTCTTACTTTGTAATTTTTGTGATCTATGCAACAATAGACAAGTACTGCCTGTAACTTGACAGATAAAGTGTAAATCCTTTCATATATAGGAGTATGTAAGAAGTCTGTAACAGTTGCTGTTGACTATGTTTTGTGTTTTTCTAGGGAGCTTCTCAATGTTTTTCACAGTCAAGTAGGTGCTAGTGTGTAAAATAAGGAAAAGTATTTTTGCAAATATTTTATCAATTAATTGTATGTTTTATTAGGAATGAGTGCAGAGTCTTTTGATGAATGTGAAATGGGTGAATCTTTGATGGTTAAACAATCATATCACTTGGCTTAAAAAAAGAAAAAGAAATTGTCCCTTGTTTTTCTTATTTCACGCTCATCAGCTGAACACATTACAACTCAAGAAACATCCATTTAAAATTCCCATAAATCTGTCATTGTTAAACCATTCCAATTTATTTCTTCGAATGCCTAAAATATACATATTTCACAAATTATTACAAGGGATATTCAAGTGTTTACGGCCTAATTATGATACCCATCACGTTTTTGGCCAATTAGAGCTCACTCGATGCATCCCCACTATGGCGTTAAAACACACTCAACATGGCAAAAGTAACTGCAGAAAATTTACAATGAAAAGATCTGTTGTTCTGCTTGGTGACACACCAAGAGAGAAATGGGTATCACTGTTAATTTCTCTGCTGAATTTTCCCACAGTGGTTGAATATTTATATATTCTCTTGGATGAGATTCCCCTTCAAGTTATATTCATGTTTCATTGAACTCCTATAGAATCTAAATGAAATATACATTAGGAACAGCCCTCACTGTCATCAAAGTCACTGCTCATGACCCAAGCACAGAGCGAGTAAGCATGAGTTACTGTTAAAGATACATACCTTATAGATATATATAATTTCCTGACTGCTAAGATGACTTGGGCGACTACTAACATTCGTAAGAGTAAACTGAAATTTCTGGGTTGTAGTGAATACAGCTTTTAACATCCCAGTCAAATTACTTTCATGATCATGAATGTGCTTTAACGATTTTGAAAAAAGGACAGTTGGTTTTAAGTAAACTGTACAACAACACAATAAAACTGCTGCAAAACCAAAAGAACAAAAAGTCACTTAAATCAAAAATGTTGTACATATATTTACAAAAAAAAAAGAAAAGAACATTCAGTCCATTGAGAACAGCACAGCTAAAAAGAAGTGACAAAGACAGGTGCTTCTGTCAATGAGGTTCAAGCTCTGCAGTAATTAGATGTCTAAGTTGAGGTTAAGTTCAAGTTAAGGTGACAACAGAACAGAGGAGGATTGCTTTGAGGGACTGTGACGCTACCTGGAGACCAAGTGTACTCTAAACTGGTGACACAGCAGAGACGGGTTTGGAGTGTTTATAGAACAAGGACAGTTTCTGGAATGTACTAGAACAAACAAACAGTCTACTACATCCATGTGCATATACACACACACGCTCTGACACAAACGCGCACTGAAACTTTTGTCGCTTCAAAAGAAAAAAGCCAATCACAAGGAAAGAACAAACAGCAGTCAAAGAAAAAAAAGAAAGAAAAGAAATTGGTGATCGCTGGAGAAAACAGTCCATTCTTGTAATTCTTGTCAAACTGTAAAAAAAGAGAATATATAACATTACCGACCACTTATCTCCCAGGTGTCTCTTGGCTGCTCCGGCCTGTTCTGGTCAGTTCCCTATGATACACCATGAGCCACATCCTCACAAATTTTTCTGGATTCTCATTGATACTGCGACTCTGGACCACACAATGGGGTTTTAGGGTACTACATGTCAGAGGTGGGTGGTGATTGGCAAATGACGAAGAGTTCTTGTTTTAAAAATGATGACTTTCACGTGGACTTCTGCCTATAGTGAAGCGTCAAGTCCCCTCCGCTCTTCCAGATAAAATGTTTAACTGTTCGCAGGTCCATGTTGGGATCTAGAACCTGGTTGAAAGTTAAAAACAATAAAAAGGTTAATACAATGAATGACTGGGAATGCACGAGACATACAAACTGTGCAAGCAAAGACGCCGTGCCCACCTGGTCTTGACACATTAGTTCAATCTTCTCCTCAGCCAGCATGGCCATGTCCTCCTCCTTCTCCTGCTCCCCGGGCTTATCGTTAGCGGAGGAGCTGGTGGTCTGCGACTCGTTGTCCAGGTTGATGATCTTCTCGTAGACGTGCTCCATCACCTTCCTCACCTGGAGCATGTCGCTGGCCGAGAGACGGTCCCTGCGGAACACATAACGGGTAAAATCAGCTCTCAAAGGTGAGCTACAACCGATCCACGTCAGCATAGATTACTGGGTTTCTGCTCACTGCATTACGTAATCAAAGGAGATGCAGTTCCTAAGCAGATGAGAAACTTACTTCTTTAGAGTTTTTGCACCAGAGGAAGAATGGGGCTGGAGGTAGAATGGGATTTTGTTGAACTTGGGCATATTTTTCTGGAACAAAAGAGGAAGGATGATACATGTAAATAATAATATTAATAATGGAAGGAGAAACTGTTAGTGCAAATGCTGTATCACAGACACGCTAATGAATTTTTCTCCTGGGAAAAATGGTGACATAGCACTGATTTCCAGTAGGAAAGCACAGGTATAAATCATTCATGATGGTTGATTTCCATTTAGCTGCTTGTTTCAGGGTCCTGGTATTGTGCATGCTGGCTCATGGAGACACTAGAATAGAACTGAGCCATTTGTAATGTTATTAGTAACACTCGGGTTTTTCCTACTAAGACAAGTTAAAATGTCTGCTGTTACAAGGGCCTATACACTACTTAAGGAAATACCTGTATTTCCTTGCCAAAAAAACATCAAACTTCCTCTATAGTTAACTGCATCTTTACCATTGTTAGGATACAAGCTAGCGAGAATGAGTTTGGAACCACCAAAGACACACTGACAAAAATATATTTTGTTGGTTTCTCTGAATAAAGTAGCTTTAGATAAACACACACACCGATATGAATATGTACAAAGGTAGCACACGCGTAAATACAAACACTCACATGAGCCGCTGAATTTCAATCATTTTGACTTTGTCTTATTTGATTTAATGTAAAGGTGAAAACATAACTGTACTCACATCTACAGTTATATCAATAACCCACTGTGGAACGGTCTCATTCAGCAGCATGGACTCAGTCTCTCCACCTGAATCTCTACATAGCAACCTGCAACACACAACATCAGAAGCAATTCAGAAGTGCAATAAATAAACTATTAACATTTCTATTTAAGACAATCATAATCTGACATCGTTACAAAGCCAGGTGCAGCTTTCTCAGTGTACTTCGAACCAGCGTAGGGATGTTAGTAAAACATTACCTAAAAAGAGTTCTGCCTCCTGCTTCCCCGAAGATGACTGGTGTGTGTGGTGGCACTTGGAAGTATCCATTTCCTTTCTGGACCCTGTTCTCCTGCTCTCCGTTCACTGTGGGCACAAGAACACGATTCTACTGTAAGACAGACTGAATGACGCTTTAGGCACCGGCCGCTCACAACAGCACGTTGTGTGGAATGAATACACACACTGATGGTCCCGGTGCATCACTGCAGCACTATAGTTGTTTTAGTTTCATAATGATTTGGCAGCGGATGGACAGTCCAGCACCTCCTTACCGTGGTTCGCCTCGTTCTCTTCCTCGTCCATCGGGTTGATGCGGGTTCTGGGCCAGAACTCCAGCAGAGCCTGGAGCAGGAGTCCACCCAGGTTCACTGGGAAATATGTTTGCGAGTAAGCAGATGTGCAATACAAAGTTAGCTTTAGCTTTGAGTTATTTAAAAGTTATTTGTATATAAAATGTGATTAGGTCAGCTTTCTTACATTTTGGGTCAGATCCATCAGAGCTTGAAAACCCAGCGTCCTTTGCAGACACCCAGGCAGCGAAGCAGTCACTCTCATCCAACGTGATAGTGAGCATCTATTGAAAAAGAGGCAGAACTATGAGACTACTGACCAGGCTCAGGAAAGAAAAGCTCAGAAAAGCTCTTGTATTGTAGCGTTGCAGCAGTATACTGATACCATCATACTGTGTACATTTGCTCATCTATAGTGTTGAATAACCACCATATAAAAAATACTTTCTATCGCTTTATTGGTATTAAAAAACATCTAATATTTTATGAAATTATCATTATAGGCGTTCAACCAAAAATAACTGAAAATCTTACTACTATTGCAACCCTTATTACCAAGTTTGTGACTCACCCCAGTTTTCAGATCAACAGAGAACCAATTTGGCACATAGACCATCTTGAAGCGCTTTTTAATCTCTTCATCAAACTCCACTTTTCCCAAGTCTTCTCCCTTACAAGCCTGAAGGGAAACACACATAAATTCAATATAAATCACAGGTATCACCAGGAGTAAGTTCATCAGGAGAGGTTCTCTTTAACTCTGGAGTGACCTGGAGGAGAGGTTCTCTTTAACTCTGGAGTGACCTGGAGTTAGTAGCTCATTAGGGCCAGTGAGCACCAAATAACCATAACCATCCCCTTCTCTGCACTGGGGTGTCATTTGGCCATAATTTGAACCATCACATTTCACTATGCCATGGACGAAAGAATGGCAGATGCAATCACACTCTTATACTTAAATAACTACAACGTGGAGTTTACCTTCAGGACGTCCCAAAAAGCCACATTGTTGTTGGTGTCTTTGGTGAGTATGTGTCTCTTGTCATTCAGAATGTGGCACTGGATGATACTGGCACCTCCTGAAAACACAACACAAAATTTGACTTCACACAATGTCAGAGAGAAGGATATAGAAGAATCTGTAGTTTTAGATAAACATGTTTACCCTTGATGACTTGTTCTGGCTGAGTGCACAGTGGTGTCAGAGGTGTAGTGCAGTCATTGTCATACTCCCCTGATGATCTAAAGTTGTGCATTCCCTTTAGAGACTGTACACATACACACAGAAAAGAAGAACCATTACAGATTATCCCGGATTTTAATAATCTCTTCCTTACAGCCATAGCTGTGATTAATGTAATGCAATTATCTTTTGTGTATTTCCCCCATGACCACAATTAATGTTTTATGCAAATTACAGGAGGATTACTGCTCAACAGCATTAGGCGTAGCCACCTGCACAAGTCTCTTTACTGTATTCCACGGTCATTTTGTTTGACAGTCCACCAGTAGTCTTAGAAGTGTCACGCATGCTTACCCATTTATTTACGGATGACTTGGTGGTGGAGACCCAGATTGCTGGAGGTGGGTCAGCAGATCTGTCCAGTTCCATCTGCGCAACAGAGAAAGACAGCAAAAGGTTGAATGACTCCAAACGGTTAGCCATGAGCAC